ATGACTAGCTTAACAAACAAATGATTACTACTAGATGTTTGTTTTTAGTATTGATAAATTAGAAAAGAAAATAGGGTTGAAGAATATTAAACGTGTTTGATTATTTTGGTTTTGAGGATTCCGGTTTGGAATTCTATTTTGGAAATTACTTTTCCAACTTATTTTGATAAGTTTATCACCTTGTTTGTTGCATAGCAAATACATTTCACTGTTTAGTGGATAATTATTAAAAACGGTTTAACGACCAAAAAAAAAATTGAGATTAAGATGACACTATCAGTGTTTTCAGTTTTTTCAAACAATCGTAATTCAGTACATTGATTATTACAATTTTCGACAGAACGTCCATTGCAATGGCAAAACCTTCTACTGCAATTGAAGAAATCTCGCATATCGTATCATGAACAAAACGAGTATATTTTTTGCTAAATAGTAAATATTTCGTTAGAAATGAAAACGTTTTAGGTTTAAAACAAGTTTATGAACCTATGAAATGGTTTCATGGCAAAATAAGTAAAAATATGGAAGCATAATAGACTAATGTTTTCAGTCCGTCCGCTCTGACACAAACACGAGTGCTAATGGAACTAGATGAAGTGATGACGTTGTGTTTGTTCTTCCATATTCAATTGAATGAGAAGAAGCTGTGGAGGCTAACCGCAAGATCAATGAGACTAAAACCCGCATCACTAGAAGCCTTTCATTTGCAGCCTAAGGTTGAGTCGTCAACGGAATAATCCTCCTAGCTCTCGATCACGAGACTCCTCTTGCATCTCGTGATATCAACTTAAAGGACATTGCCATGAGCTAACCCAACGGCGAACCCTCACAAACCAACTCAAATGTTCGGCTGCAGTTTACCCTACCGAGTTCCTCTTGGAGTCGGCTAGTACAAAGCTCGATAAAATTATTAAGACCAAATCAGAACACAATTAGTTTTATTAGCTCATCTAGAACACAAGTCAAAAGCAACCTAAACCAAACGGAAAGCCAGCAAGACTACATCCCTAAACAACATCAGTAGCAAGATACAAGCAACAACACGGCCAAACGCAATCAACACGGCTAGATATACGAGATGCATACACTATGAGACAGTATGCATACACCAAAACGAGTATTTGGTGAGAGAATAATAATTGAAATTGTATATCTATTATATAATATATTCCTTATATATCAAAGACTCTTGTGGAAAAATGGAAAGTAAATATCTTATTCGTTTTAATAGATTATCTTATTCATTTGTCCTTTGAAATTTTTGCAATAACAGCAAACAAAAATACTAAAATCTTTATTAATTAGTTTACAAAAGTTTTGATGATGTCAATAGTCATAGCGGCTATATCATGGACGTCTTTGTTACGTCTGGCCAACTCCAACGGATATTCTGTGGGCCACTGGTCCCCACAAACCTTCGGTGCCAACAAAACGTCTTTCATGTTAGACACTGCCTGAACATATCTCTTAGCTTTTAGATCAGCCGAAGCTGCCGGTAGAAACCTTCGAACCGACGCACCAAACTCCTCAATGCAAGTTCCGTACCTCTCGTAATCTTCACGTCCTCGGGTATCACCAAAAACGGAGATGACATATGTTAACGTCTCGTTCACTTTCTTTCTAGTCGCATCGATAGAGATCGACCCAAGTCCTTTTATGTAAGAAAACAAATCACAAAAAATTGTATATTTTAGCTACATAACTATGCAATAATAAAAAAATTTAAGTTAATCATCTCAAGTATATATCAATTTTTACGCTTTATTCACGATATACTAAACTTGGTTTAAATTTTAAAATTGTTAACAGATATTTTTTAGAAGAAAAAGAAAACAAGAAAATGATATTTATGATCTCACCTTGGAGATTTGAGGTTTTGCTTCTAGGATCAAGATTGAGAGTAGAAACGCATAGGGCTTGATAAAGGGTTTTTTTGCAGAGTTGTTGTATAAGCTGGTTTGGTTGAGACAAGGCTGATTGGATTTGGATTAACACGACAAAAATAGCGAATAATTTCATGAAATTATTCATTTTTTATATTGGGAAAGCTACAAGCAAAAAAATCTTAGTAAATTGTTTTTGAACTTTAAGGTTGGGTTTTTATAGGGTCGGAAGTTCTTTAGTCTGTTGACAAAATTAATAAGTTTCTTTAGTCTTCATCGCATATATTATATATATGGAAATAAAGTTACTCAGAGTTATTAGATATTACCTTTTGTTTGGTCAAAGTTATTAGATTATAGATTTTTCGATTATGTACACATATTCGTTTATAAATGAGTTTTCAAATCCTATGAGATGTAGAAATTTGATTCGTTCGCTTACATTCTTAACTAAATAAATCTCGGAAGATTTTAAAAATCAATGGTTATTTTAAATAACTTCATACACATAATTTTTTCAAAAGGATTTTTAAAATTACTGATTCATTGTGATTAAGTTTTAAAATAAATAAAAATATGCGATCCATTAATGTATGTTGGTCAAAACCATTGTAAGGCAATAACCTTATCTTTGAGGAAAAAGCATGAATATGTTTGACTAGATAAACATGACTAGAAGTGACTGTTATGATATATGAAATACAGTAATGAAAGAATTGAAATTCGGATAATGGTAGAACGACAACATTAATACAAACCGCTAAATTATACATATTATATTTGGTATACATGTATATTGATTGTTACACCGGTACCTACATATTGTGGTTCTAAGAAAAAATAAAATTTTCTGGTTTTAGTGTGTGAATGTGATGCTTATACAGAATCGAAGAGGATATAAACTACAATTATTTGTTACGAAAGGTCATATAACTTTTTGACAAAATGCACAGATAAAACTTTGTAACTTTTTTACCAAAGGCCCCCAATTTTTTCAGATGAGGAACCATTAATGCTTATTCAAATCAAAGCAAATTAATCATTTTGTTTAGACGTTTTTCTCTGCACACGTCAATGAATTTGCATTAAATAGGTTAAATGTATCGAAGCGAAAAGAAGAAAAAAAACGTTATAACATAATACTAGTAAGAGTCACAACTACAAATCCATAAATAAACACGCCTATGGATTCATACTATACATCTTAATCTTCCATATTAGTACTAACAGAGAGTTATTAAAAAGAGAAT